TATATATATATATATATATATATATATATAAATTCTGATGTCTCACACATCCCGAATATACATATTACGTAATATATTTCACCTTGAAGTGGGGTACTTGGAAGGCCTTTTGCAATAATCATCGATCAAGTAATCACTGGAACGTTTTCTCGATGTGTTGCTTCTGTCGCTGCTCTTATTCACGAAGTGCGTCAGTTTCGCTACCAAGACCTCCAGCATGCCGTGCTTCGTCAGGATGTCGAGGCCAATTTCGTCGTGGATGAACAGCGAGAGAGCTTCCAACAACGTGGGGTGGTGACACTCGTGCTCGGGCTTGTTCAACAGCGCCACGATGATCTGCAATCCGTCGTTCTGTCTGATCCTGTCTCGATTCACCGACTCTCGACAAAACAAGCACAGACTAAACAGCATCTCCTTGCACAGAAGGCTGGAGCTGGTGTCGGCCGCTATTAGCGCTATGAGCTCCTCGACCGTGCCGGAAATGCCCAGATTCAATCGACATTCCGCTATCTGACAGAGAGTGTAGAGGCATTTGATGGCCATCTTCTTATTGTTGCCCGCGTTGCAGCAACGCATGAGACACTTGTAGCCCCACATGTTCTTGTTCACACGCATCTGGTTGGCGCATCGTGGATCTAAACTGTCGAGAAATGTGTACATGGCCTTCAAGCACGCATCCATGAGCTTGCCGTACTTCGCATCCACTTTGGACTTCTCCTCGGCCGTAACGAATAATTGAGCAACCAGCTTGATGATTTCCAACTCCACCACTGTCTCCCTAATGCTTTTATTAACGTTCCAGATATTCCTACAAATGTAATTAGTATATATATATATTCATGAAATTTATAATGTGGATAAATACAGCTGAAAGATAAAAAGAAAATAAATTACTATGAAATCAGGAGCGATTTTATACCTTACAGCTCTAATGGCCATACAATAAGTTTGTATGTCGGTTTTCGACGTTAGGAGTGTCACAAGTGCTTTTATTACACCAGCATCACACAATTCCTTGGCGTGCCAGCTACATTCGGACAAGTTACTAACGAGCCTGCAAGCACGACAGTGCAGCATGGCATTCAGCTCGAGATTTTCTATTATGAGCACTACGTTGAATCCTATCCTGCTGTTTCTTACCTGAAATTTTATGATTTATTCGTATACAATGAAAAAGAAAAAAGAAAGGCAATTTTATTAAGCTATAATATACATATTTCAAAACCACTGGATGTATTTTCGATGGAAGATTGTCGAAAAACAATTTATAAGTGATTTTTCTTTCAAGAATTTGTCAAAAAACATTTGGTGGTTTTAAAAGCTGTAATATAAAAATAAAGGCAAAAATACTGTACGAACTTTTTAATTTTTTTGTTATAAAATTCAAGTTGCGTCAATATATCATAATCTATAATAAGCATGTATGTCTTAACAAATATTAATATCATCAATTAAAAGCAACCAAAGCAAAGCAAAGTAAATAAAATAGACGGAAATCTTCTGTCTATTTTTAGTATATACATTGACAATATAATGCATACAAAAATCAGAAAAATTATATAGAAACTATATACTATAACTATAAACTATAACAAAATTATATAGAAACATTAATGTATTGGTTGTATTTCCCATACAGTCGCTTGTCCATACAGTCATTGCCCTAATAGAATCTCGTCCATATTATGAATCAATTGAATGCTCCTAAAGTGACAGATCTCTTCCTGCTCTTCCACACATATTTACCGTGTGATATACGACCATATTAGAACGAGACAAACGAAAAACAGTCTACAATGATGCCACATCACGTCTGAACAATTAGAATAACAGTGGGGAATGAAAAGAAATCTTTGATCTATTATATGGCAATACTTCCTGTAGCCCTTAACTTTTTTTTCATTAATTCTGTAATTGTGTACTTATTCTCAGCACAGAAAAAATAATATTGTACAGCTACAGAAAATACATCTTAGAATACAGAGGATACAAGGAAGATTCGATAACTTTAGATCACTAATCATAATTATTTTATGTAACGTGAGCATTCCACTGTATTGTTATATTAGAAAAGAGAATTATTAAGCAATATATATTGTCATTAAGAATTCTATATCAGATGATATTTTTTATAAATGTCTTAAAAAATTTTAATAGCATGCTGTGGAAAAATCAGGCATTGGTCACCAATAATAACTGCGACAATCAATGCGTCAATAAAAGAAAAGAAACATTTTTGCACCTCTCAGATACAGTGACAGTGTAACTCTGCAAATGGATCAAATGCATAGGTCTGTTCTTTATAAAAAAATTTAATTTTTTTCATTTTTTTCTCCAATAAACCTAAATTGTTATTAAATCCATTATCTCAAATATAAAAATACAACAAAGATCAGACATCATATGTATACACATGTATATTGTTACCGAAGAAAAAAAAAAGAGAAGAAATGAGAGTATACCATGCTGTGGAAAAATCAGGTATTGGTCACCAATAATAACTGCGACAATCAATGCATCAATAAAAGAAAAGAAATATTTTTGCATCTCTCAGACACTCTCAGATACAGTGACAGTGTAACTGCGAATGGATCAAATGCATAGGTCTGTTCTTTATAAAAAAATTTAATTTTTTTCATTTTTTTCTCCAATAAACCTAAATTGTTATTAAATCCATTATCTCAAATATAAAAACACAACAAAGATCAGACATCATATGTATACACATGTATATTGTTACCGAAGAAAAAAAAAAGAGAGAAGAAATGAGAGCATACCTTCTCCCTGACGTCGTCGGACATGCAAGCATCCGCGAGTATACTCAGACTCCTGTCGACGATCCTGTGGTTCTCGCAGCGCAGGAGTTTGACGAGGACGTCGAGGCAGCTGGCCCGCTTGGCGAACTCCTTGCGGCACTTCGCGTCGCTCTTGAGCTGGTCGAGGTAGGCGGCGACGCCGCGGTGGTCGCCCGCGCGGAAGCACCTCGCCAGCGTCGTCTCGTCCGGCGGGGCTGTCTTCGACAGCGACATCGCGGACTCCTGGTGGCGCGACGTGAGTCGGTGGGCGGACATCGGGGCGCGCGACATCATCGCGTCAAAATCGGAGCATCCTCCACCTACTCACGCGGGGCGAGAGGGCATGACGCGCGCGTTCCCGTCGTCGTTCTGCGTCGCGTGCCAAGGGGCATCACCGATCGTGCAACGTCGAGCGGAACTCCTCGTTCTCCGCTGCCCTCCGCTCATCTCTCCGAGAGACTCCGCGTAAAGCCTCTCACGAAGCGATCATGTGTCGCGATCGGAAGAGTTACATGGTCACACGAAACGTCGAGAGCACGTGAAACTTTTCGCTATATTTACATTTCCACTATTCGGAAAACATTTATCCGATCGCTACCCCGCTGGGCTCGAGAGGGAGGGGGGGGGGAGCGATCGCGAAATGGTGACAGAACCACAGAAGGGTTAGAAGGGCACGACGTAGTATTTACTCCGCGGGGGGAGGGGGGTTAAAGATTTTAGGGAAAGAGAGGACCGCCATACTGTCTGGCGACACTACTGCTATCTAGTGGTAGAATAATAGTAAAAATGATTAATGTCTTGAGAAAAGCAATTAACAAGAAGAAAGATTAGGTATATCGTGACGATCGAGGTATTATTAAAGACGGCCAGGAAAAGGCAAATTTTCGTGACTGTAGGCCTGGGGTAAAATTGAAGAACGATGACATTACCATATATACCATTTTGGCTGATACCGAGGCCGGATAACAAAGTCCAGGGTTGTGCCGTAGATTTCAAGATTATACGTCTACACGGATTATTTACGTGAAATCTACGTGATGTTTACATGGTCTTTTTGTTGCGTAGACAATTTAGACTTGTAAAATGTTCAAAATGTATCATAGGAACAGGCTAAAGATGCCACATCTTTAGAATATTCTTGATGTATTTTGAACATTAATTTAACTACGAGATTAAGATTAAAAATGCAACCAGAGAATTTTTCTTACTCAAATAGTAATTTTTTTTTACATAAATGTTAAATTATATATATTTATAAATGAATAAATATATATAGTCTACTGACTGTCTACATAGATGATACTTTTACAATAGTTTACGTTGTTTACACGTAAACGTAGCTAGAGTATTATATTTTACGCGTAGATGCACAACCCTGTAATTAACAAACACTATCTGCAATGCAATCATTATTTTATTATCGACCTCAGTAAAGAGTTAATTATTTAATTATTATATAATTTTTCAATTTTCCTATACACATATGTTATATCCGTGCAGCAAAAAAAAACGTTGGAAAAATTAAAAAATAAATCATAATATAAACTTTTCACTGTCGATAATAAAATGATCATTTGTTATCCTCGATACAGCCAAAAATGGTAATTGTAATGTCATCGTTCTTCAATTACCCTCCGGGCCCGACTTGACGGTCGATAACGAAAATTTGCCTTTGACCGGCCGTCTCTACTTTGCCGGTGGCGCCGATTACGGAGTCGGTTCAGCAGGAATTAATGCATTTGCGAACGAACGTTCGCGCGGTTGTAACGATATTATACGACAGGCGTGGCTGGCGAACCACACCACCCGGCGCGGGCCAATCGCGCCGCGTTACGTCACGCGTGGCCTCTCGCGTTATCGCGCGGGTATTATCGCGCTGCTGGCACGCAGAGCCGGGTGCCTCGCGGTGTGTATACGTTCTCTCCTTCTTCCACCTGTCGTCTCATTCACTCCGTTCCTCGTCGGCGCGCTCGGTACTTAATCGGGAACGAACAGCTGTTGCTCGTACGAGGATGACAGTATACGATCGACCGTCGTAGCGTGTGCATCGCCTCGCGTCAAGAGGGCACGAACGTACGTACGCAGCACATTGTGGAAGAGATAGACGACGGTGGCAACGTTACGCGCGGCGTCGAGAGGGTTTTCGGGAAGGAGGAGAGAGCACGCGTGTACTACATTCCGTCGAACGGGCACGCGACAGGCCGCCCGCGGTTTTTTCGCGGCTAACGCAAAAGCATCGTTTACGCCGCTGCGCGTTCCACGCGCGAAGGACGCGAACGATTGTCGAGGGAGAGAAAAGAAGAGCGGGAAGGAAGGAGCGACAGCAACGTACGACGTAGAGGACGACCCGGAGGGTGTCATCGGCGTGCCATATCATCGGAACGACAAGAGGCAACATGAATCTGTCGTTCGCCGGCTGCGGCTTCCTCGGCATCTACCACGTCGGCGTGGCGGTCTGCTTCAAAAAGTACGCGCCGCACTTGCTGCTGAACAAGATAAGCGGCGCGTCCGCGGGCGCTATCGCCGCGTGCTGCTTGCTCTGCGATCTGCCCCTGGGTGAGTGAACTCTCAATCTCGATACTCCTAGCTTCTCTGCTTAATTATGTCAAGCAGTCTCCCACGGTTTCGGAGGAGTTTCCTCTTGCGCGCAAAATCAGCTTGGATCGACGCACCGCTTTAACGTTGTCGTTCCACATCCATCTCGGATGATTTTACCTGCGGCCACGGTATTTTTTTTTTCACCGTGAAACCTGCCGATTTTCCTGATGTTAACAGGAATGACGGGCCAGAATAAACAGCCTGTTCTACAGAAAATGTTAAATGTTAAACAACTTACATGTCATTGTATTTTTTAACTCTTAGTACAGTGCAAAAAACGGCACATTATCGAACACATATATATATATATATATATATATCTCGTGTCCGATCACTTTTTTATTTATTTAAACTGGTTAAAAAATCTCTAAAAATTCATGAACATACTTTCAAGTTTCCCGAACAAAATCTATATACTTTATTCGTCTATTTTGGAAAAGATAAAATGCAGTATAATGGGACCCTTCGAAATTTTGAGAAACTTCTGTGAATAGAAATCGATTGAACACGAAATACCCGTATTTGTTCTGTAAAAAGATTATATTATATTTTAATATTTTTTTTCTTTATTTTATAAGTTTTTCCTTTTGTTCTCGAGGTCATTGAGCATTTTTTTATTCCTTTCCTCTCTATTTAAATAAGGACAACTTCTAGCAATTTCTAATTTTTTTTTTCTTTAAATATTCTTTTATTCTTTTTAATTTTTCGTCATTCTAAGTCTCATACTTCTTCCGATTTTTCTCTCTATTCTAATATAATATTAATAATTTAACATTTCAAGGTTCATCTTTTATGAATTGTCCCTGTTTCCTATATTCTTTCTTCTATATATTGACCCTGATAGAATCCTGGACATTTCGTTTTTCACATAAACTTTCACAAATTGTTCTAGAATCTAGCGAAAAGTTAGTCTCTCGCTAACGCGAAAGATACAAACCGTTCTCTAAACGTTTAATTACCCGATGAGATATTCTGAATTATTACCCCATCTCGATAATCTTTCTCAAAGAGTTGATGACACTTGCGTTACATAATCGTAACATCTGAACTCGTTCGATAAATTATCGCATATCGCGAAAATTGATTACTAAAAAGCTTCGCTTAATTATCTGAATATATTGTAACACGCTGCGCGTGCACGCCGCGGTTAAATAAAATTACACGCATGTTGTTGCACAACAAAGGGGACACGGCGAAACCGACGCGGATGAATTTATTATTATTATTCCGCCTATAATTCATTCGCGTGGGTCGTTATACCGCGATAACGAGAGCGACCGCGGACTAATTAGCGCGCGACGCGGTAAATTTGTAACACGCTGCCCTTTCCCACATCTGTCACGCTCGCCGGGAGATTGTCGACCGCGCCGTCATGTACTTACATAGTTAACTTTTATTAAATTACACGCGCGAGGGGCGATTATCGTGGAACAACGTCGTTAAGATTGTTAACCGCGCGTTTATCGCAGGTACGATTACGCGTCGCGATCGTTAAACTCGTTCGGGGACAAATGAACCGTACACAAAGAAAGACGAATGAAATATATTACAAGAATCGGAGAAATTAATCGTGATGTGTAGAAAAAAGTTGAATAAAATATACGATCGGGAGAAGTCAATTAATCAATAAAATGTAAAAAAAAAGGAAAAAATACAACACAGATTTGCCTATAGGAAATAAACGATATTGCAACACTTCGGGCAATAAAGTTTCATCATTCATGTCGTAAATCTTAATCTACGAAAGAAAATGCTTATTCTATTCAACTCGCGCGTGTAGACAAGAAAACTATTTTAAATATTTTTTTAAAAGACTATTTTAAAATTCTTAACAATTTCCGATAATAATTTCAAAGAACAGTAAAACTGTAAAAGATAAAAAAGGACTGTAGGAAAAAAAGTACAATATAATCCCGTAGATAATCTCTGTCCTCCAGGTACAGATAAAGAGGTTCGCCTATCCTCCTATTTAACTTCGTCGTAATAATGGTTACGTGGCACGTATTATTGTTACGCGTGCAGCTGTAAACAGAGGTAACCAGAGTTTACACTGCGATAATCCCCGTGGCGCGCGTGCGTATAGCGCCTTTTAGAGAAGCTCCGATCGCGGTGTGCGCGAGACTTATCTCTCTGACACGCTTTCACAAGTCCTGAAATAATTCGCAAAGTATTGCGTAAAATCGTCATCACCCTTAATACGCCTTGGTCTCGTAAATGGGTCATATGGCCTAGCGAGAGCCGCGCGCTGACGAGGAGCGCGCGCGTCCGCGCGGGGTTCGCGGGGTGCTGTGACGCGTGCTTTTATCGCACGAGTGTTTTGTTTCCCCGCGAAGCCAAACGTGTTGTCTTTCATTATCACGAGAAGCGGGATAAACACAGGCACGCGCGCGCGCGCGCGCACACACACGTACACTCGTATCTCTCTTTCACGCACCATTCCGCGCTCTATTATGCATTCGTAATGACACAATACGCTGAATCCGTGCGACGCACAAGCTGAGCGCATCTAACTTCAATTGTTGTGGATTTCCGGTCTTTCTAAATTATAAGATCTGAAAGAGAGACGAGAGTCTATTAGACTTTTGCTTATTATTTTATATCTACGATAAAGATACGTGGGAAAATTTGGGACAAAAAAAAATATATATAAGATATAAAATAGAAGATTAAACTTTTGCTTATTATTTTATATCTGAAATATATAATAATAAAAATACGCGGAGAAGTTTAAGACAAAACTAAATGTACTTTTAATGTATAAAATGAAAGAAGCTCTATCTTGTAATCTTATTTTCACATTCTTATTTATCGCTTATTTTTCATCTATTTTTCAATCTCGTTCTTTTGTTTGAGTCACACAGATGACGTAATTTTATATTATGAAAATTCTGTCGTTTGAAGATCGAAGTTTAGTACGTATAGCCAAGAGGCGAGATGTTAAGTAGCGTTTTGTTTAAGTCCGCACAAAGTGCTATGTTCTTTTTTTCTATAGTATATGCGCCTCGCACAATGCAGCGAGCTTATTATGAATCATTTTCGACGGACGAGAGCGTAACGGCGAGGTCGAGCATCGTTGCACTTCGCCGTCTTGCGTAAGTCCTAATTACGGAAACGAGACGAGTTACGTATACGGCAAACGTACAATCAGACAGTCTGATAGTCTGAGCTCTGTGAGCTCAATTAAACAAGAGAAGCTGCGCGAGGAAATGACGCGTGATTCACCAAACTCTTTGGATTCACCTCGATGAGATTTAACTCGGTAGACTTTGGCACATGCACCTGAAAAAACACAGCCGCTTCACAATCAGTCGCTTTTGTTTTCCGCTCGGCGACTGTGATTTAGCGATTCATGAATTACATCATAGAATTACATCAATACTGATAACGTGTAAGAATGCTGCTGACCTATTTTTTTTTAATGGCAACATTTATGTGAATCTTTTAGAGACACGTGCAAAATAAATTTCTTGCAGACTGGCAGATATAACTTCGAGAGAAATTACGATTAGCAAATAGGCGCGAATATATAAAACAGCCGATAGATTGAATATTTTAGAATTTAAATATAGAATTCAATTATAAAATTAAATTAATGAATACAAGTTCTTGAACTTATTATTGGATTAATTAATTCTTGAGTCGATTATTAAATTGATCCATGGGGAGTCTTGCGTACATCGACGATTAAACATTCAAATTGATTCCACGCAGTTCTCTCCGTCCATTGTCGCTTTCAAACGTGTTACTTTCATGGAATCTAGTCACGCGTTTCCGATCCCCCGGCGCGCAAACAAGGTCGTTTGACCAAGGCTCGTTCATAACACGGACGTGCGTCGTACAACAAGCCGATCGGCAGCTGCGTGGCAAATATGTTTTCGTGCCTCTTGACGACGTTGTGACGATCAAAATCATGGTCATGCAACGCAAATAACGGCGGAATAGAAAGGGTTAGACGCTATCTCTCGTCTCGGGTTCTCTCGCCTAGATACGGTGCATCGGTGTCAGTGGAACTGGGTTACGGCTGCACGTTTATTCCGAGGGAAATTGTTGTACGACCGATAGCGGTCTTCCAGCACCTTTTCACTGTGCTCCGCGACTCCGGAAGGAAGCGGCTCTTTCCGCTCGAGGTCGTGGCGTTGCGATTAACTGGACTCGAAAACATATTTTCCTTGCCGAGGAATTAAGATCCGAGGGGGAAAAAATGCCCTGGCAATTTTATCGGAGATCGTATTAATAGATCGGCCAATTTGAGAATGTTTATCGCGACATGAGCGTTGAGATGTAGGCGATACGGAGATATGGAAATCCCGAGTAATACAGCTGTGGATACGTATACACTAGAGTTGATGGACATTATTTCGGCGATAAGCCATCGATGATACCCGAAATTTATTAATTTACGCCCGGAGCTTATCTGCACGATAAGGTCGTAATTATCAATGATTCTCCGATTATCTGTTTTGGCAGTTTGCTGCCTGATAAGAGCAGCTATCGAAATTACATCGCGCATCGCTCGGCGCGATGTTTGTCGATTACGCAGCGGAAAGAAAAGCCTTACTCGAGGTTGATAAATTGTCAGGGAAGACAGGTGCAGGATATACGGTACATTGGCCACAGTGTTTTATCGTATTTCGATAAAACGTGATTAAAAGAAAATATAAATATCTTTCCATACAATGAAATCCATATACAAGAAATCGAAGTCGGTCAATGCCGACTAATCACCGAGAAAACAACTAAAAGATCTCGCGAACGCATTTTTACTTTAACGCATGTGATGCAGCGGTAGTAATGAAGAAGAATCGTTTAAAAAGAAAAGAGTCGTTTAATCAACAACGCAATGTACACTCGTTCATAATTCTTCGCCGGTAAACACTGAATTTTGCGATTTTATGCGTACCATCAATTGCGTAAATATTATACGTAAATTATTAATTCCGTTGTAATACATTTCGCCG